CGTCACTCGCTCCGTCGCGACGATCGGTGACGATCAGGATCGATGTTCCGTAGATCGTTAAATCTAAGATTTAAGCGACGTCCAATGTTTATCGCCCTGCGGTTTCCCATTCGCCGTAGACCGAACGTTCCCAGGAAATGTCGCTTCCGGATTCATCCTTCGTTGTTCTTACGCGAGACGCGAGACAAGGGAATGAAATACAAAAATTCCTCGTACCAGATTCACCGATTCCAATATATCTCAAATAATATTAATCCCATTCTGATGTGAAACGAAAGCGGATACGCGGGTCGACACGGCCCGAGATCGAACTCTAACTAAGCGGAGGATCTCGGCTCCGGAGTTCGGGATCGCAACTCCTTTTATTGTTAAATAAATAATCAACCAGTTGTTGCCGCGTTAGGCATAATTTATTAGCCTCCCCGACACCAGCGAGTTCTTCCCTCTCTTAAATTCTTTCCTCGTTTCGCTCGCACGCTGCTCGGCACCGCCGGCTCTTGATTCTCTCTTTCTCCCTTACCCTTTCGTTCACCAAGAGAATCGACTCGCCCGCGATTCGCTTAAAGGTGTGTCTCCACCAGCAAACGGTTCATCAATAACGTAAAAACCATTCTTCCTAACGATCAGAATTTTTCTATGATATATCGCGATCCCTTTTCGCCCCGTATTTGCATTTGCCAATATTTCTGAGCGCGCAACAGCGAGCAGCGATCGCGTATTCCTCGCCCCGGTGTACGCGCCGCCTGATGCTCATTTATCCAGACCCCTTTTGGGCCGCGGTGGCTTATGTTAAAACCAAACCACGTTGGTTTCTCTAATTGACGACCGGGCCAGGGCCTCGGGGGCCCCGAGGTGGGAACCGACAACGGCCTCGGCCGCCGCGACATCGTATTGTCTCGCGTTTTTATTCCTACTTTTCTGGCCGGCTCGTGGGAGCAGGAGGGTGGAGCGCATTCTCTCTCTCTCTCTCTCTCTCTCCGTCCGCGCGCATACCTCCTGGATCACGCTCGTTTGCGCTTTCCACGGATCTGCGCGAGAATACCCGGTTCTCCGGTCTGTGTGCGTGCTCCCGGTCGCAGCTCGAATTAACGAGTAACAACGGGGCCACCCTGACCCGGGCGCCAACGTGTCCCATTAAGGCCGCCCTTTTTTCTCCCGGCCGGTCGACGCTGCCACTGTTCCGTTGCTGCTCGTTATGAAAATTCCTCCGGTTCGGTACCGGGACACGACACGGATGCAGCACCGCGCGGAGATAGTCGATGCAACGTTCTCTTCGGTCAGTAACAAATATATATATATATATACGTTCGAGATGGAAAGTGACTCGAACGAGAAGATCGATGATCAATCGAACTTAATCTATTTTATGTACCCTGGAAAGGTCGTCCACGTTCTCAACGAACTGACAATGCTCACTCTCGTTTCTTTTCTATCTCGCATTGCCGCGGTCCGTAAGATCATTAAACGTCCGCAACCGCTCGCAGGCTACCTTAAAGATCGTCCCCGGGTCGAAGGTGACGGGCTGCGAGCGCGCGAACAACCGACCGTGGCGATTATTATGCTTATTAAGGTGGAAAGTAATAAATTACGGGCTGGCTAATAGCGGGTACCGTGAGAAGAGGAGAGAGAGAAAAATGAACAAGAGGCGAGGGGCGCGCGAGGAAACGGCACGGGGAGAAGAAGAAGCTTCTCGATCCACGCGTCTCCTTCGAATCGATTCGTCGAGGAAGTTCTTCGGCCACCGAAAACCCCCCCGTGTCCCTTTGGTCTACCGGTCCCGGCGGCGTGGTCCCGCGCGACTCAGGGGAGGACGTTGCCGAGGCAATAAAGCTGTTTCATTCTTAATTAAATCCGAGGCCACGCGAACGAGCTAATTAAAGCAAACATCCGACGCGATACGGGCCGAACGTTGATCCCGAACGACATCACGAAACAAGGGTGAATCAGTCGTAAAAAAGCGGTGCTTCGCGAGTTTGACCAACGCCGTTTCCCGCGGGATTTCCACTCGGTTACCTCGCCGGTATTAACTTTTATGATGCCGCAAACTTCTCCGCTACGACTTAATTGAATACAGAACATATCGTACGACTCTCTACCTTCTATTCTATACACTGATTTATCAATAACTACACGTTTAGATCAGATAGTTTTTCGAGATAGTATTAGTTTTTGTAATCGTGGAAATATCCGATAGCCGGTACGGAAAGCGGTACGACCACATGGTCGGTGTCCGAAGGTAAAAAGACAAACATGACACGGATACACGTGTGCGTACATAGTTTGCGCGATAATGGTCGATAGAGAGATAGCGTTCCTCGCGTCCAGCACGGGACCGAGGGTCGTTTCCCGACAGGGTCGAGCGTAAATCAATCAGAAGCGTCGAAAAAGAGGCACGAGCGAACTCTGATGGAACAGGGTTCGAAGAATCGCGGAATACGAATAAAATGAATCTCTCAAGTCCTGGTAAATTCGATTCGGTAACCGGGTACTCGCATCCTGGTCCGTGCAGACAAAACCAGGAGAGAGAGAGAGAGAGAGAGAGAGAGAGGGAGAGAGAGAGTGGTCGCGTTGTCGCGCGACGTGGCTCGCGGTAATAGGATTTCACGTAAGCAGCCTCCCAGGCAGCGGCCAAAAATCGAAGGAGCTTACGGGAAGATGCGCCGGCCGGCCGGTGCAGCAGCAGCCAGAGCGTGCTGCTTCGAACGGAACGGAACGGAACGGGCCGAGGTAAAAAGAAGACGATGCCGTGGGCGAAGCGGCGCGGGTGTGCGGGTTGGAGAGACACAAAGGGACACGGCGAGGCAGAGAGAGAGGGACAGAAAGAGATAGAGAGGTAGCGAGAAAGAAAGACGTCCAGGCCGTACAATTTTAATTAACCCGGTACCGGGTAGCCGATCGCGATCGAATCGGGTGCACGATCTACAAGGAATCTACATAAGATCCTCCACTCGCGGCTACAACTCAATCCCCTCTTTCTATTCCGCTCTCTCGTCGGTCCCGACTGGCCCCGCCGCAGACTCTCTTTCTCCGTCTCTCTCGCGCGTTGTGTGCGCTGGACACGAAGAAGAGGCGCGCACAATCGCCGCGCTCCCGACTCGGCTTCTTCTTCTTCTTCTTCTTCTTCTTCTTCTTCTTCTTCTACCCCGTCGCTTATCTCGGCGAGCATCGAAGATAGCGAGCGAACTCCTCCGCGTTGCTCGCCAGCATCCGGCGAGCTCATATTGTTCTCCCCGGCGCGGCGTGTAACTCACCGAGCGAACGAGAGGAACACGAGTACCCGGCTCTCCGTCTCTCGTCCCGCCGTCTTTTTATTTCGCCTTCGCATTTTTAATCAGGGGCTACTCGTGCGCGTTCGCGGTGCGCTTAATGAAGTTGCGAGCTGCCCTCCGCGAGTTTCTCTTTTGAAGAATCGTCGCCGGTTTCGCGAAAACGACGGAGCGAAGGGGAGCAACGATCGCGGAACGGAACGGAACAGACCCGTGTTCGCGCGTCCGCGCGTATTAGGACGCGGCCATACGGAGAAGCTCGGTAACACGATAGCGGCCGTATGTAAAACCATCTGGTGTAAAACGAGCTGCTGGCTCGCTCGAGTATTAAATCGGCCCTCTGCCAACCCCTGGACCCTCCGTCCTTCCTCGCCCCGTCCACTCTTAGACTCTTTTCGTCGATCGTCCCTCGATCGCCGCTCCCCTCGCCCCCGCGCCGTCCTCGCTCCGAATCGGTGCCTTTATCCTCTCGACTTTGACTGCTCGCGAGGGAAAGCTTTCTTCCGTCCTCTCTCGGTACCCGCACGCTCGTGGGCACGAGGAATCCGCGTTAAGCCGGCTCCGACGCGGATGAACTCGTCGCCGCGGTGTTCGCCTCTCGTGCAGTCCCGACCGTCCTCCCGCGTTACGTTCCCGGCTTAATCGGCCGATCGACGAACAAAGGACGAAGATGTTCGACGCACGCAGGCCTCGAAGAAGCCTTATCGCGAGAACTCGCGTCTCCCGGTTGATCGATGACGCGAAATTTAATCGAGACTTGTCATTCGTCAACTTTCAATGAGCTCGATTCCGGTGAGATCGCGAGATCATTAATCGCCGACACAATTAGCGCGAGCTCTTAGCGCCGGTTTAATTATTGCGTGCAGAGATCGGATCTATGTATGTACTCCTTGGGAATACGTTCCAGGCTCTCCCTTCGTGTCGCGATCTTCCGACGATTACGAGCCATTAATTGTTATTAGCCACGATCCTCGATATTAGAACGCGCAATCGAATTATCCCGGCTATTACGTCGACCGATCGGTTTCGAGTAGAAACGAATTTCTATCGGGAACGGTTGGTATCGCGTCTCGCTTTTCCCTCCATTCGTTTCCAGCACTCGGAGCCGGACGCGTTGCGTTTTAATAATAACTTCGGGCCGATCTATCACTCGCTTAATGAGAATGAAACCAAGGAACACGCCGCCACGGTTCGCGGGGTTCTTGTTAATCGCGTTGTACACGCCGTTCGACCGCTTATCTGCGACGTGTACAACAATACATTTCAGCGAATAAACGTTCCTTTTCACAGGTCGGTCTTTTCTCTCCTCCCACCGTTTCATTTTCCAGTCGAAATCGCATGCGTGGAAAATTAGCATTTTTTAATTGAATACGAAACAGACATAGAGCTAACAGGATTACATCTCCTTGGCCCGCATGAATTTAAGATCGCGCTTAATTGTAGCAATGCGGAAATTAATTATACGGTTTTAGTGTAATGATGATCTAGGAACGATAAAATCCCGGAGTTTCGCGCACGTAAACTCGCGCTCCGGTATGACTCGGCGACATCGAATGGACGTCAGGGTTAACCGCGTTAAATACCGGACGGAGAACGGAACGACAGCGAACGAGAGTCTCGCGGATGGGAGAAAGAGACTAATGCCCCTTAATGCTCCGAGACGGATAATGAAATTGTGGAGAGCGGCTCTGGCCGCTGGTGGTAGTGACGGCGCGTTAAAGAAAGCTCACTGACCTTTCTCGTAGTTGATCTGCCTCTCCTGCTGCCTCGCGTTGTCGGCCGCGACCTTCAGCAGGCCCTGGATATTCCTCAGCAGGGTCTCCGTACTCGACACCGAGGGGTCCTGGCCTCCCTGTGAAACGGCCACCGCTGCGGAGGCGATCTGCGAGTAGTTCAGGGCCTGAGGACTCTCCGACCCCGGCGCCGGCAGCGGCAGGTTCTCCGGCCCGTCCGAAAGATCTGAAATCATCGTACAAAGTTCAATGCATCCAAATCGATTCACGATTCAATTGCCGATCGCATCGTCTTTCGTCGTTTCTTGGATTTTTTCTGTAGACGAGTGCGAGAATAGCAACGTTAATAAGAACGAGAGACACCGAGTGCGAGGTCGAAGCGGATTTGGAGGGGGCAGGCGAAATTAGTGGTCCTAAATTTCGGGAAAGACACGAGTTAGACGTATAAATTTCTGGTGGCCCGTGTACCGGACGGGGGGAAGAAATCCGTGTCTCGCAGCGTGTCGTATGCATCGGGCTACATCCTACCTACGGCGCATCGCGGTGATCGAAGTAGAACCCCATCGAACGCCCGTGGGAGTGTACACGCCCGTGGAATGCAGTTCTGATTTAATGAGACGCGCCGCTATCTCGCTCTCGTTCCTGGAATCCGATCTACCGCGGTTCGGCCGTTTGTTCGTTCGATTTCCTTGCTCTTGCAAGGGAATCTCTGAATCTGCGTTCCGAACGAGGATGACGTCTGAATTCTCGACTAATCTAATTTGCGCGGAAGTAACGAGCGAGGGAACGAGCGCTGAATTTTCAAGGGAAAGTGGATCAGGTGTCGGATATACGTTGGACGAGGGTTCCACGGCTAAGAGACGTTCGCCAGGAATTCGCGAGATCTTTCGATTCCGTTGGCCCTTGGCCTCCGAGGCAGATAATTGTAATGGGTCCGGACGAAGGACACCGGTACGGCCTCGGAGAAGAGATCGAGGGGAAAAAGACTGGGGGGAGGTAGTCGCTATCAAAAGGTGCCGGCGGATCGGCACTCGAAGGCAGCCGCGCGAGCATTAAATCGGCCAATGGCAATAAGTAACCGAATGCCGTGGCGTTGTAGGTGCGCGCTGATAATTAAAAGACGATACAATAAAGCACGTATCATCGGCTATAAACCAGCCGGGGCCAAAGCCCACGGTGTGGGCCGTGGAAGCGCGCGGGACCGGTCACTTAAGCTCTCCGTAGAGAACCCACGCAGACGTCTTGTCTCGGCACTCTCCACGGACCTCTTCGGCAATAACCATAAGGCATCCTTTATTCCGGGGCCCAACGACGAAAACCATGCTTCCAGGCTAATCGTCGATAGAGAGAGAATAACGAGGCTACTCCCGCCTTTTAGCCCGAGGACGGACCGTGTCGCTCCCTCTCGCGATTTCCGACCAAAAGGAACGCGAGAAAACCAGTTTAAAAAGTAAAAACGCTGGTTTCGTCGTGTTCCGAGAACCGAGAGTCCTCGCCGAGTTTTCCCTACGATATCCCACGACGCTTCCTCTGCCGCGAGGCGATAGATCGCGCGGCTGGAAGCAGATCTCGAACTGGACGTTCCGACCCGATCCCCTTGGGCGCGTCCCGACCGGCTAATCGACCGTTTTAATTCGCGAATTTAATTCGTCCGCGGTGACGTTAAATCAGAGACGTGGCGAAGGGTAACAAGTAGTCGTCGCGGGATTACGACTCTGGAACACGCACGCGTCGTAAGTCTCCACGTGGGAGAGAGAGGCGCGCGGGACCTCCCTCGAACGTTGTTCCACGATCCTTCGGGGGCGAAATTTATCGGCGACGCGTCCCGATTCCCGCATATACGCGCGCGTACACCGGGCAAAAAGTCGCGAAGCAGCTGGACCTAATAGGCCAGCCGATGTCCGTCGTACCGGCTTCGAGTTTTATGACTTTCGCGGGACCAGGAATCTTGTAAATCTTTTTATCGTTCCTGTTGGTCGTTTTGATTCGTGGCAGCATACGGTCTCGGGGCTCGAACCATCGGCCCTTCTAATTGGAATATCCAATTAACGCGTGGCGCGGACAATCGGCCAAATCGATTAGAAATCACCGCGATTATGACGCTCGGGTGCATCGAAGCGCCGTGCCGGGACAGCCGAGATAGCACCACGGGCCACGGACCGAGATTTTTATCTGGGCCCATCTTTCATTATTAAAATGAAACTAAATACCGAAGATGCGAGTCTAACGACCAACGGGTTCCTCGGCCAGTGGTGCTTCCAGCGGCGTGCAATTCTCTCGATCCTCTTCGTGTCTCGCAAATCATCGCGAGGATGAATCGTGATCGGTCGCTGTGAATCGCGATCGGTCGCCGAGCCCGAACAACCGGTGGAAGCGCGAACGCGAGACGAAACGAAGAGCGCGCAATCGGGCGCGTGCAGCGTGTAAAACCTCGGACGCCTCTCGGTGAAAATTTCAGCGACAACAGCGCGCCGCCACGTTCTGACGAGTTTTGACAACCGCTGAGAAGAGGGGCCACGGCCGAGCGTGTGGAAGACGAATCCCGGAGAGAACCGTCGCGTCGTTCTCGCGGCGCGGCGGGCCCCGGGATGATCGATGAGAAGGTCTGACCTACCAGTCGTCCCGAGGAACTCATCTTTAAACGCGGTCTGTCCGCTCGATTCGATATAATTATTTTACGTATGCGTGCCGCGGAACGCGAACAACGTTTCGACTTTCGGCACACGTCAAATCGACCGTCACGCTCCGACTGCCTTTAATTGATCGACCGATCGTTACCAGGTATATCGATCCCTCGGAGCTTAGGGTGTATAAGGGATCTCCGGCAATTTTCCATACCTTCGTCCTTCTCGTTCTCGTCGTCCAGGTCCTCGGACAGATTGTCGTCCTCCTCCTCGTCGTCCTGCGAACGGTGCGACGCCTCCGCCTCGCTTCCGGAGTGCTCGCCCACGCTTCCGCTTCCAGCAGTCTTCGACAGGTTCAACACGGGACTGTGACCGTTCGAGGAACCTGGACAGAACACGTCGTTTCATGTCACAATGCGAGGAAACTGCTAAATATGTACGTGTGTGTGTACGCGCGCGCGCGCGCGCGTGGGTCTCGTATTAAGAATAAAGCAGCGATTGACAACGATTGATGGATCGTATTTGCTCGCGGTTTCGCCCATCTACTTCCACGGTCGCTCCCTTTCGTATTTGATATCCGGACATTTTAATCCCGACGTGGATGGATACTGTTTGGCCAAAGGAGAGTCGCGCCACGATATAAGAAAGAACAGTAGGCTCGATTAGTTCTGTAGTATTCGAGGTAGAAAAAATTGTATACGTTTTTCGCATGTAATAGTAGTACCTACAACTTCTATTCAAAGCATTTCTCAAAATTCCGCAAAAAAAAAATTTTCAATTTTTCCGAGATTTTTCCAAGGGGTACCCCTTCAGATTTTGCGAAATTTTCGTTTTTTGCCAATAACTTCCAAACCGTAGGATTTACGAGAAAATTGCATCAGACCTTTTTTGTAGAGGACGACGAGATCTACAATTTCTGTATAAAAATTTGTTGCTAGCGTTAATAGTTTCCGAGTAATTTGCAAAAAACTGTTTTTCCGTTTTTCGTCAATAACTCGCTAACTATTAACGCTAGCGAAATATTTTTACATGGAAATTGTAGATCTCGTCGTCCTCTACAAAAAAGGTCTGATGCAATTTTCTCGTAAATCCTACGGTTTGGAAGTTATTGGCAAAAAACGAAAATTTCGCGAAATCTGAAGGGGTACCCCTTGGAAAAATCTCGGAAAAATTGAAAATTTTTTTTTTGCGGAATTTTGAGAAATGCTTTGAATAGAAGTTGTAGGTACTACTATTACATGCGAAAAACGTATACAATTTTTTCTACCTCGAATACTACAGAACTAATCGAGCCTACTGTTCTTTCTTATATCGTGGCGCGACTCTCCTTTGGCCAAACAGTATCCATCCACGTCGGGATTAAAATGTCCGGATATCAAATACGAAAGGGAGCGACCGTGGAAGTAGATGGGCGAAACCGCGAGCAAATACGATCCATCAATCG